GGAAAGAGTAGAGAGTAAGAACCGAATACAAAAAGAAAGAGGAACTATATAATATAAGAGGTTGACTTGAACTCCCTGACCCACAAAGTTGGAGAAGTTTCAGAATTAGGCAAAATGGATTTGTTCAGCCCTAATTACTGTTATTATAGTACCTAATATTAATGTTCCTACAGCACTTGGATACTGTTGTGTGCTACAAACCATAGATAAGCTGTTATTATTACTACCTTCTAGGTCCATCTTGGCAGTGGAATTTGGGTAGATGAGGAGAAATGGCACCAGCTGCAAGTAACACAAGGAGATTCAAAGTATACAAAAAATCTAGCGGTTATGATTTGGGGAACAGATGTTCTCAAGAACAGAAGTGTCACAGGAGTTGCAACCAAAAAAAAGAAAGATGCCGTTCCCAAGCCACCTCTCTCACCTCACAAATTAAGCATTGTCAGAGGTAGGTTATTTGAAAACTTTTGCTTCCTGCTTTGGAGTTTAACTATTAAGCACTGAGTTGAAAGGTGCTTCTTTTCAGCTCATATAAAATTAACTGATTAAAAACTGTAATTCAGATTGCTATTGCATTGTGAAGTGCACACGTATTCAGGAAAAGTAAAACACATTGCAATAGCTGTGCACAGCGCAGGCCTTCACAGCTGAAGAGTTGTACTCCAGTAAGGTTCAAGAAGATCATCACTTTAAGCCATGTGCAGGACAGGACTCTGAGCCTGGAGAACAACTTGTTGTTCTGGAATTTATTTATAACATAGTGATTTTTTAAAATGCATATATTCCTTTTAACAAGCCTGAGAGTAGCTTTACCACATTCTTTCATCCAGAATGTAACCAACTCTGGCATGAGGCACAAAAACCATTATAGCTGTGACTATAAAAATAGGCATACCCTCAAAGGCGAGAAAGAACAGTTTTACCCTTTTAAGTGGAGAAAATGGAAATAGTAAAAATTATTTGTTGCACTTGAATTGGAATTTGAACAGGAAGTGTAAATCGCTGACCTATCTGGCAGGAAAAATTGCAATGACACTTTCAGGAATTGCAAGTCTGAGTCCATGTATGTAGTATGTTGAGAGAGAGGAGGACTTCTCCTTTATTAAATTAAGTAGTGAATTTCAGACCTTTTGTATCATCATGCTTGTGTTTTACATTCATTTCTGTCTGTCTTGGTATTTCAGGCTTCCTTTTAAGTCAGAACTGAGCCGGTTCCTCATGGAATACATACTGAAATTGGATTTTTAGTTTTTGTGTCCATACTAAATTGCAGTAGGGCTGGGAGAAATTGATTGAGCTTTCTTATTCTGTTTCCTGTTCTTTGTTGCTATGTGCTCTGAACTATGAACTTTAAGAGCCACTGTAATCTGCCTTTCAAGTACCATGTTTGGGAAGTAAGAAATATGATTCTTATTTGAGTGTGTGCGTGTGTCTGTGTTGTGTGGGTAAAAGTTGGAAACTGTTCTCGTACTGTCATCTTTCTTAGTTTATAAGAAATGAGTAAAAGCCATGGAGTTTTTTTTACTAATCTACTTCAAGAGTATATGTGGAAGTGCAAGCTGTTCCATACTGAACTTTCTAGGTCTGGCTGGGAATTTTTGTATGTATCATTACACAGAGTAATGATAGGTAGTGGCCACATAAGGAATCCACTCTGGCTGTGGCTACCCTTGTCAGCTCCTAAGGGGAAACGGAATTGGTTACCCAGATGCGCACTTAAAGCACACAGTAAAAAGGGTTTACTGTTCACTGGCCCACTGCAAAGAGCTTTCTAATTTCCCTGCTGGAGGCTGTTGCTCCTCAGCACTGCTGGTGAGGTTGCTTATGTGAGAATCTCCTCTTCTACTTCAATCAGGGCCACTCTGTGTTGCTTTGAACCATTTAAATGATAGCTTTCTTCTAACTCCCCCTGTTTTGACTACAGGGAGTTTGGGAGTATGCTCCAACAGGTACATCGTGAGAGGCAGATGGGGCCCTTTCCTTTCTTCTCTTAGATATCTTTACACACTCCAACCATTCAGTTCTTTCCTATTTCCTCATTTTTCTGTGTTTTCTGTCATAGTTTTGCTTCCAGCCTCAACCCTCATTTGGATTCTACTGTTCCATGCTCTGGTTTTCCATGTTCTTCTTTCCAGTGTTTATTTCACTGTGTCTTTGACTCCCTCTTTGTTAGACTCCAGGCTGTACAGTCTCCTACTGAACCAGTTAAACTGCATGACCAATGTTTTAGGTGGCAGCAGACACATTTCTTCTATCAGTGGTACTGAGTGGCACATAACCATGAGTTTTCACATTGTTATGTCCTTTGCATTTGCGTTAGTGTTAGCAGGCCTTGCCCCATCATGCCACAAGTGTTTCCTGGAAAGCTGGTAGTGATCAAATAAAAAGTTATTACATTAGGGAGACGAAAACAAAACAAGAAAATGAGTAGCAAGTGGACAAGTGGTGAAATGTGAGGAAGTTAAGAGTTTACAAGGCCAATGACTTAGATCAGGCATCACAGAAAGTAAAGCTTCTTGTTAGTCTTTGAGGTTTACTTCAATGTTTGGTCCAGTCAGAAATACAACAGGGTACCCATATGTTCCTCTAAAGCCAAAAGACAAAGGAGAAGCGGAACCCCAAGTCACTCTTTGAAGCCACTAAGCCAGCATCCTTATGTGACTACTAAATTACTGTCTCTGCAGCCCCTCATAGAAATGAAAGAGATGGAAGGGGAGAAACTGTGATGATTGTGGGTCTGTCTGGGTCAAGTGATTCTTTGCTTGACGTGGCTAAACTAATAACATAGCCTGTATTTTACTGGAAGTTCACCTTACTAGGTGTATCTACCACAACCTGCGAGTATTCCTGAGATCACTATAGTGCAAGGTTATGTCCTGCAAACACACTGGGTTTCTTCAGGGCCTCAGTGGCATGCCTCTTCTTAGGTACCGTATTTCAAATCATAGTTTACTGATGATCAGCATTTCAGCTATCAGGCTGCATACTAATTAATTTTATTTATTTTATTTTCAGTACATCTTACAACATAAAATTCACATTGTTTTAGATGTTCTCATCATTCTGTGGACACAGACTGACTGACTTGGAAATAGATTTTTGAACGACAGCATTAGCTCGTAATGTGTCTGATAGCTTTAGCTTCTTAAAAATTCCAACTATGTAGTATGTAATAAAGAAAATAAAAAAGTATGATGCATGAGCAGTGTTATAAACCTTGTTAATACAAAAATAACCTTTTATAAAACTTCTGAGAGGTTTCAAAATGAACTACAAAGCATGCATAGTACTTAATTTTCATAACTTTTTAATATGATGCATTAGAAATGTTATAAACCATGTTAATTAAGCGATAATCTCTATGGCTTTCTGTATATGAAGCAATAAATGGTTACTGGAATAGATTACCAGACAAAGCAGAACAAAGTTTGTTTAATCAATCTGGGAAGCCTACACAACAAAATAAACTGTTCTGGTTATGAAAACAAGAAACCAAAGCCTTCCTGTCTCAAAGCAGTTGGGTGTGTTGCACCACCTCTGATTTCAGTAACCTCTGCAGGATTCTGGCATCAGACAGAATTGTCCTGACTTTCATTGACCTCATTGCTTTTGCGGATATTACTGTTGCTTGCTTTTTGTATTCCAGTTAAATTCACAAAGTGCGTTGTGCAAACATGCAGACAGGCTCTCGCCCTGAATAATCTAAGGAGAAGCAAAATACACCCAGGGACAGGGTGTCTGATAAAGATGCAGACATTAGTGAATGTTGTACAGATTTAAAAAAATAAAATGAGTCAGTGAATTTCTTCTCCTACTGGTTACTGCTTTTTTTCCTAGTCATTGTCATTTGCTTACTGTCTTGAAGGTGTGAAGGTAGGAGTAACTCATGGGGAACTGCAGATAACAACAGTTCTGGTGAGACCATTCACCTGGGAGAGTCTATGTGTCTGCCGTGGATAAATGGAAAAATACCAGAGTTAGGCAAGCAGGACTGACTACAAACAGCTGGATTTAGCCTTGTTTCTGAATAGAAAGCCTATTAATGTAGTCACAGCATAACTGGAAGTTGGTCGTGCCAAAGAACCAAGCCTGGTGAAAAATCTTGTCTTAAACAAGATAGCCAGTGAATCAATGAAAGCTTTTGTTGTCTTGTAACAAACATACACAGTGCTTACTCAGTGCTGTCTCTTGAGTAGTTAGCCCCACACAGGGCTGTATTCTTTTCTAAATATATCCTAATGGCTCTTTCTTTTTTTTTTCTTTCTCCCCAGAATGTTTATATGATAGAATAGCACAAGAAACTGTGGATGAAACTGAAATTGCACAGAGACTCTCCAAAGTCAACAAGTACATCTGTGAAAAAATAATGGATATCAATAAATCGTGTAAAAATGAAGAAAGGAGGGAAAGTGCAAAGTACAATTTGCAATAAATTTTGGATTTTTAATAAAGTCTTAGTGTTTTACTTAAGTGTTGTTTTTTGATTTGTGTGACATTTTGGCTGATGGAAGAAGCTGACTGGAAGCGTTACTCTCCTTCTATAACTGATTCGTTTTTGAGCGGTTCTGTGAAAAGCCTTTCTATGGTGTAACCTGCTTTTAAATAATGTAAGATATATTGTAAGTCTACTCACGATGAAATGGTGAACTTTGAAGGTTTTCCAGTGAGTTGCAGTATGTTACCTGCAGTTCTGTATATAGGTTGTAACTCCGCGAACATCAACCCACTTTGCCTACGTTTTGTTTTACTGGAGTTAGTGGATCTAGTTGCGGTAAACGTGTGCTTAGAAGGAAGAACTGTACAAAATACACTTTGCTATCGAAAAGGGTTTTATTGTATTTTACAAAGTGTTTTTCTGAACTGAAATTTTAATCATTTGTTTTTATAAATCTTTGTTTTGATCTCTAACAATATATTTGGTCAAAAAACCCACAGTGCTTCTTTTTCAGTTATTACGTTGTAGTTAGATCACCATTGCCATCATAACTTAAAAAACAAAGAAAGAACTCAAAGCTGTAAGATGTAAAACCTTTATAGTTTGTTTAAAAAAAATATCAATCTAAAAGCAGTTCTTTTTCAGGCACCAAGGCACTTTTCAGATTTCTCGTTATGCTGCAAAGCTCTTCAGTGTTGTCTGTACTACTGTTCTTGAAACACCATTTTTAGTGTATTTATATTTTCAGATTATTTAAAGATTGCCACACTATAGCCAGGTTATGTCTGATAGAAAATTTAGTACCATTTCTTCTGAGTCCATCATTTAACAGTGGACACTTTTAGCACAGATTTAAATTAAAACTAAAACTAACTTTCTACACTGAAATTACTCTTGCGATGCAAAGTTATAAAGAATGATTTGTTGTCCGAATTATACCTTACTATCTGTAAGTGAAAGAAAATAACCTGAAGCCTTGTTTCATTAATGATTTTGAGAATAAGGTTTTTAGGAATAACGTAGAGCCCGTATTGATCGATTTTGAGGATCTCTTATATTAGTGATCTTAGTAAACCTCCCATTTGTTTACACACACAGAGATGTGATTATTTATCTCTCAGGCTGTCTGTTCCTGCATATCAGCATTTGTTCCTTTTTCTGCCACAGATACTCTGCTTGTGGTGCTTTTGAATGTCTTACCATTTCTTATCCTCTTCCTGTAGCACTGGTGCACCCTAACGTCAAACCGATTTCCGTATCCTGTGTGTGTAGATAATTTGAAAGGAGCAATGCGAAGATTCTCTAACGGGCTGGGGTGGATGGAGGAAAGAGGGGGAGGAGGAGCAGTAGGACTGCATTGCCTGCTTCAGAAGAGATGGAGAAAACCACCATGTGCTCAAATGATGTCTTAATTCAGGGCGTGAGGATTTGTTTTATGCTTTCTAAAGTGCAGTTTCATGGTTGGCTCATGAAAACCGAAGTATGCCGTGCTGCCAAAAGAGTATGCCCCACTTCCACTGCTCGTGTCCCTGCATTCCCATTCCCTCCCTTAAACTGGTGCTCATGGTTGTGTTGGCTGTCACTGACTTCCAAGGTTCGTCTCATAGCGGCTGCTGCTGACAGGAGCCAGGGAGTGCTCAAAGCGAGGGGCGGGAAGAGGAGCAGTGTCTTTTTATGGTGGCTTAGGCGTATCCTGGAATTGCATTTCACAGCCTAGCTTGTCTCCTGTTAATCTCAAAGTGTTCTTAGGTAGTGTTTAATGAAGTGTATAAATGTTTATGCTTCCTAATTTGGGATGCTAAATAGCAAATTAGTGTTTATAATGTCAGTGCATGTATCCTTTTATTAATTAAAGAACAAAATAGAAATAACATTGAAGAAACACTTAAACAGCAAGTTCGCACTTTTCAAGCAGGCTTGTGAATGTGCAGTTTTTTTAAAAGTGATATTAGGACATCCACTAGTTTGGGGAAAATGCCCGTCAGTCTGTTATGGCTGTAGTACTAAGTGTTTTCATTATAACAGATTCTTTAATCAGAAGATCATGCTGCACTTCTTAGAAGATAAGCCTATTTGAGACTGCATTTTATGAAACCTGGAAAAAGCAGTTTAGAATTTGATTAGAGTTGGGACTCCAGCCTGGCCCCAAAAAATCAGAGATCCGAAGTTGTTCTGCAAAACCAGCATCATCTTTCTAAGGCTTCTCCTTGACAGCCTTGTCCCATCAGATGTTAATGCTGCATATTGCTGGAGAATTTCAGTTTTCTCTCTGGGAAGATGTCTTGGAAGGCTTCATTCATTTCTTCCTGGAGTTTCTATCAGCCCTGGTCCAGGAGACAGTTTTCAGCAGCTGAACAGGAGTATTTGGGTGGCACAAGAAGGTTCACTTCCCTTTGAAGTGTAGCATTGTACGGGGCTAATACCGTGTCCTTTGGGCTGGGGAACTGGCCTCGAATGCGAGCGTCACCTGAAGCTTTATTGAGTTACAGAAGAGGAATAGGACGTGTGAAAGTAATATGTCTATTGTATTATAACTTGAACTAAATCTCTGCATTTCTGAAATTAAGTTTTTGCTAATAATAAGCCAGTTTTGCACATTGTAGATGTATGGCAATGTGCAGAGGGCTCTGTAATGGATCACAGGTCTGTATGAATAACATCTCTGCACTTCTGTTTGGTCGTTACTCCTGTCTTGTCCCTCCCCATGAACCCGTATGAAGACCACACAAGTCTTTCCCTGGGTGTCTGTTTCAAGCAGGGAGATGGGCCATGCTGTAGTGTGTTCCAGCATTGCCCAAGGGAAAATACAAACTTTAATGGGGTATGCTCTTCTGCATTGAAGTACTGATGTATAAATTAACTGTGAATTTCACTCGACTATGTTACACTTCATTTATGGCCAGTGCTGTTCTTGTTGGTACATTAATTCTTCCGTAATTGTGCTTGCCTGTGTGTAGTTTTGCTTTGTTTGTAATGCATCTGCTCGGAACCTACCATGGGAGACTTTAGTAGGCTCTATATTCGCATTTTTTCCTGCTCTAGCTTAACTTCATACCTGGGCATCATGTGAAATGGAAGAGAATTTGACATAAGATGAAGTAGGTTTATTACACCCTGTAGTACCCCTTATTCATCATGCTAAGGTTTGTGTTGTGCCGTTAGTTCATACCATAAACCTGGGTTTGTAAGTGTCAGAAAAATGCAGATTTAAGAGGAACTGGCTTTCTGTCCTGAGAGGTCAGTGCATACCATTTACTTCTGCTTTGTATCAAAGAAGGAAGAAGGTATTACTGTTATATGAATAATCCGATCCTTTGTTTTCATACATTACAAGTTACAGCAGCAATATTCATGACCTGATCCTCATTAAAGTGCTTCTGGCACTTGCAAGGAGGCAAGATTAGAGTTAACAAAAAGAGCTTTATTTTCTATTAATGATTTTATTAGTGAAGTGAGCTCTTATATTAAAGGAAAGAATCTAGCAGAGATTTTAATACCTCAATCAAGATGTCTAGCCATTCAATTAAAAAAATAAAGCTAGTATTTTTTAGGAAAAAATATTAGGTTCAGCTGTTACAGAACAGGTTTGGATTTAGTGATGCATTACAGAGATGGAAGATTTTTATTTCTTTTTAGTACAGTCAGACTAAAATACTTATTTAGTCATGTCAAAGTTGAACTATAAGTAGAAGGAATTTAAGGTTGCATCTGGATAGCTATTGAGCATGACTGACAAGAAAGGAACAGTCTCCCCGTGGGAGGTCACTTCTTTGCACCGCACCTTTGATGCTGTATCGGATAGATTACTGTGGTGCTGCTTTGTTGTCTGAAGCATAGATTATTTCCTCTTGGAAGTTTTAAGAAGCAATAAGTTAAACTTTTTTTGGTTTAGTGAAATTGTAAAGATAATTCGGCTTTACACTTCCAGAATGTGTAGAGTATTAAAAAAATGAGGCTAAGTGCTGGTCATTGAAGTTTTGCAGATACACAGAATTATTTTAACAAAGGAGTGAGAACGTGCTGGATTGGGAAGATGCAGTGTTAGCTGTGGCATCGCCATGCATTAGCTGCATTCATAACTCTCGAGAAACCCAAACTTGGGCTGTTTCTGAAAGGGGACGTAGGAGTGTGGCACGTGGAGCCATACTGAGGGTTATTTCAAAGTTCCTTTTTTGGTGCAAGAATGGCTGCTCTCCTGAAGGATACAAAGGTGAAAATTGCGCTTCTTGAGAACAAGGTGGTAGTTTTCTATTCAGATTTTTGAAAGTATTTGTCATCATGTGTGTGCCGTTAGCCTCGGATTGATGAAGTCATAACATCAGTTGCTGAGACTGTCGTTGTCATTATTTTCGTCGTAACAGCGTGGAACTGTGAAGCGATTCATACAACACTGAGGCAATAAAAATGTTATGAAGTGCAGTCATTGCATGTTTCATGCTCAGTAGCTGATTTTTAATTTCACCATCTTGGATACTTTTTCATCCCCTCAGGCTTCCTAAATAGGAAAGGAGAATCATTTGGACTTGGAAAACAGGAACTGTGATTCAAGAAAGAATTAATTTACTTGGCTGTTCATTTGCTTTACTCTTGCAATTATTTTTGCTGCTTATGTTTGAACAATAACTTTCATTCTGTGCATCAGATACCTGCTTGTCCAGCCCGGCAGTGAAAGCACAGTCCTGTGGTTGTGATGTCATTTGTTTATAATGAAGCAGAAAGTGTCTCACCCGTGACATCAGATGAAGTTGCATTGTGGCTGGATCAGAACAGAGGTGAAAATAAGTCTGGGAGGGGAGGAAGAAGCTTGAACCTAAAGGATTTTTTTTCTTTGCTGCCTTCTGACTAAAACTTTTTCCTACTAAGGAAATTATTTCCTCTACATTTAGCAGAATAGCAACTTTATGTTCCTTGTTTATTGACAGTAAAACCTTAATGGAACTAAACTCTTTATCAGTATATTTTTTTAATTAATCAGTCTATCTACTTTCATATTAAAT